GGGGGGGAGGTCATGCCCCCCTGAAACCCCCCATGTTGTTAAATTTACTATTTTCAAACATCAATAACTCAATGTACTATTGATTTGCGGCAAAAATGAAGACCATATTCGTGCTTAGCATGCAAAATACTACTAGAAAAGATTATATAAAACGTGAACATGAGACGGGTGCATAAGTATAAAACAAACCCCATAAAAACTAAGCCCCCCAAAACAAACAAACAAACAAACAAACAAACAAACACACAAACAAACAAACAAACAAACAAACAAACAAAAAAACAAAATAACAACAACAACAAAAAAGTAATAAATAAACATTGAGAAGTATAGCCTACAAATAAAAAGAAGAAAACAAAATTAAAGGGAAAAAAGAAAGAAAATCAGCCCGGATGTGAAATCCAAACCATGTTTACAATATGAGCCGACAAGGTTGAAGGTCAGCCTGATCCGCGATCTGATTGGTTGGACGCCATGCTTCGATGATAACATTTCAGCTGTGTGTGGAAAGAAAAGGTGGGACTGCCACAGAAGATAAAGGTGTTCAGTGGTTCGATTATCAGCAGAGAACAGAACAAAAACCTAGACGCGTCATTAGTACAGGTGAGAAGATGTTTTAACCGCTTGTGGTACGAATATTCTTGACTGAGTTTCTTGCTTTTCATCGTTTCGGTGTATTTTGTCATGTTCCCCTCTGGTCTTTTTGATACATTATAATAGTAAACAAACACTGCTGTCACTGGGGATAATGACCGTGAATCTACAGCGAAAATCTGTTAGTTTATTGATCAACACGGTTTTAATTAATATTGAAATGACGTAGAATATAGATCTAGATCTAGATATACTCTTCTTTTTCAGTTGCGTCTAAATATGTATATCGTCTGCTATTTTAAACATTCTTCATTCTTGTAATATTTAACCTCTGCCTCTCAAAATCTGACATTTTCCAGGACCCAGGTTGGAAGCCTGTTTCGTTTATTTTAGGGCCTAGACTAGATATATAGATCTATATCTAGACGTCTAGATCTAATAATAGATCTAGAATTCTACAGATCTATTCAATACCCATGACCGTCATGAGTCATAGGGTTGTTAAATTATCGAAGTGCCAACCAGTCTAGCCGTCATTAAGTACGGCTAGCCTCTTCCTTAAATTATTACTTGTGTTACTATGGTTAAGTATTGCCCTGTTCTTTTACTTTTGATCTAAGAATCTATCTCTATAGATCTAGAATCTAATCTAGAGACAGATTTTAGATAGCCTAGATCTAAGATCTTCTCTAGAATCTAGAGATGTGTTTTTCTACACTTAGTAGATTCTAAGATAGATTCTCTATATATCTAGTATGAAAGACTTAAAATTTTTAATGAAAACAAATTCCAAGGCAGAAAGAATAGATTATTTTTTATTCCTTATAGAGTGGCTTGTTGTGTGCAGTGGGATGGGACCATGGCCGTGGGTGGACCGCTGGCCCTATTGTGATTCAATGACTCATGTCAAAATGAAAGGAGTGCCCATCCTTTCTGTTACAGTTCAGTGACAGTTTTCACAATTTCAATTTATATTGCCTAGATCGGGGGGGGGGGGGGGGGGGGGGGGCGCAATTTATTCAGTAGGCCAAGTATATGGAGTTGATAAAATTTGATAAATTAATTAATTCTGGATGAAGAGTTTAGATTCGATGGGTGGTTGGCGGGTGCTCTGGTGTGGCTTGCTCCTGCTTCTTCTTTCCTTCAAACATCTATCATCCTGATCTCTCCTCCTTCTTTTTTGTGTTTGTTAAGTTCTCTTGTAACACCTCTATCTTCGCCTTATTGTGTTGCAAGTGCCATAAAATTCTTATCATAAAACCTATTTTAAAAAGTAGAAGAGTCTAGCTGCGGGTGATTGGAAGTGTCACTGGTAGGCAGGCCTTACTTTCTGTGTCCTTTGTTGTTTTGAATCTGTCTTACTTTCATCCTGTGATTTAGTGCTGAATGACAATTAATTGTTGTGTCGCTGTGTTTCTTTTTACTCAAACAAAGAGTCCAATCTTAAAGTAAAAAAAAAAAATAATTGTAAGATGTCTTAACTTCTACTACTGAGCGGTCCCCTGTCACTTACCAGACCAGGGGCCAGGGGGGTATCCGAATCTATGATGATGGTGGTGGTGGTGGGGGGGGGGATATTAGCCGCAGGGAGCACTATGTTCCAGGCTGCCAAGGATGTCTGTGGTTATAATTGGTCGCTTTTAAGGACAAGCCGGCTAACCCGGATTTGGGGGGTTTCTAGAAATCTTGACCTATACCAAAAGTAAAAGTGGATTTTGCCATACCTATGGAGAAGTTTGGTTTCATGGGTGTGTTATTTGTTTGGTTATATAGAGAAAACTCTATGTTTGTTTTTAAAGAAACTGAATAAGGGGCAAAAGCTTTACCTTCAATTCTCTCAGAACGGCTTTTTTCGGGATAGCTCCTTTGTGCTTAAAGCGACCAAATTACCATAAAAATTTACACATTTTTAAGCCCACTGCATCATGCTGAGACTTTGCAGTTTATTTTATTTGTAATGAGATCGTTAAATCTTTCGATAAATCTTTGGTGATAGAGCACTGATGTCTTTACCCTGTATTGATTGTAAATTGTAGGGTTCTTGTGCCTTTGGTTTAAATAATTAATCAATTATTTTTTAATATGGTGTGGGAAACAGGCTTCTTTTACCCTCTGTTGAGGCATCAAGTTAAAGGCCAGCCCGGGCCATGTGGGTTTCTATTCCTCCAGAAGGAAGGACAGTTTCCTGAGAAATGATCTATTGTGGGCAGAGAATTTACTTCTCTTTCGAATTCAAGACGAGAATCTTAATTGCTGTACCACTGACATCAGAACCTTTGCTTTTCTCTATACACACTCTTATTATTAATTAGTAATCTCAACTCTTGTGAACTCCTGAATCTCAACATTGATTTATCATAACTAAAATACCTGCTCCATCACTATGCCTATTGAATTAATTGCAGAGCTGATAGCTGATGTGATGTTAGTGGTAAATGTTTTTTCTTTCTTTCTTTCCCTAGCTTGGCAGCTTTTTTCCTGAGTTTCGAGGTTTCTGAAAAAAATGGCAGCGTCTGTACTGAAGCCAGCTAATGCCCTTTTGGGCGCAGTGTCAGTAGCGAGTCGGGCATTGAAGAAGGTAAGTGAGAATAGAATATTTTGTAAACCTTATTATGATTTTTTTGGACAAGTCTGTTCATTATTATGTTGCTCCTCCTGTCTAACCACTATTCACGGATGGTTTGAGGGCGCCACTGGTAAGTCCTACTTCTTTTCTTTCCCTCTGTTGTTTCTATCTGTCTTGCTTCTCTTCCCTGCGCTATATATGCCTGTCACTGTGTCTGTGTGCTTCTCTATACTCAAACCAGTAACCACTATTATCCGATTCACCTCCTCTGAATACTCACACTACGTTGATGAGTGTTCTGTTTCATGCTTACCGGACTATGGAGTTAATTCCTTAGCCTACTATGCACTGTTATCATCAGGTTAGGCACAATGAATGTAACTGTGTACCCCTTTAGACAGTAGATGAATATAAGAGTTTTCAACAAGATTATGGAGTTATTACAAACTGTTAATTGTTAGGTTTTTAAAAAAAAACTGGATTAGTGACAGATGAGTGTACAAAAATTAAGTTACCTTTATGTATTCTTTTAAGTGCATATATTGTCTTTGTCACCTATCCTTGCCTTGGGTGAAAAGCTCAATATAAATCCTGTAATTCCCATATATATATATATAGCTGATATCTTATGTTCATTTTGAACTTTTGATCATAGTCATAACACGGTTACTTTAGTATTTTTTGTTTTGTTATTTTGAAAATATTATACATGAATATACTTAAAGGAAAATATAGAGTGCTTCCCCTGGTCAGCTTTATGACGGAAGCAAAAGTGAAAATGGTCTCAATAATTGAACTTTTTGTACAGGAAACGAATAGTTTTGTATTGAGGATACATTGTATAAAACTGTAGTGACCATGACCTTTAAGTTATCATATAGTACTATGAATGTCATTGACCAGATAATGTGCACCAAATGTCACTGGAAGGAAGCATTGCCACGGTGGACCTGGCTGTAGTTCGTTGACCTGTGGTGCAGTGTTGAGCTTTTCCTTTTCTTTTTTAAAACTTTGTATACTAGTTGGTGGGTACTGTGGTGTGGTTTCTTCCTTCTTTCCTGTCAAAAGCCTATGGTCTTTATCTCTCCATGGATGATGGACAGGTGCTCTGGTGTGGTTTGCTCCTTCTATCAAAAGCCTATCGTCCTTATTTAATTCTCTCTGTGGTTGGTTAAATTGGCGGGTGCTCTGGTGTGGTTTGCTCCTTCTTGCCTATCAAACATCTATCGTCCTGATCTCTCCTCCTTCTGTTTTGTGTTTGTTACTCTCTTGTAACACCTCTAATCTCCGGCACTTATATATATGACCTTATTGTGTTACAAGTGCCGTAACACTCTTACTAAAACTAAACTATGATTAGTAGTGCGGTTTGCTCATTCTTTTCTATCAGAAATGCCTATCGTCCTTATCTCTCCTTCTGTTGTTTGTGTGTTACTCTCTAGTAACACTGACACCTCTAACCTTCTGCACTCGTATGATGTGTTTGTGTTGCAAATGCCGTAAAATGTTTAAGAGTACTGATACTTAACTGTGGTGCAGTGTTTAGCTTTTCCCAAAAATTTTTTTTGAAAACGCTCGCTGGGGTAGCCTACACTTGTGTGTGTTCACGTTATATGTCATTGCTGCAGTGTTTAGTGGGCGGTTGGCAGGTGTTCTTGTGTGGTTTGCTTCTTCTTTTCTGTCCTATCAGACATCTATCGTCTTTATCTCCCCTCCTTCTTTTTTGTTTGTTACTCTCTTGTAACACCTCTAATCTTCGACACTTATATGAACTTATTGTGTTGCAAGTGCAGTAAAACTCTTACAAAAACTAAATGAGATAGGCCGGCAGAAAGGGTCTTATCCATGGAACTTTTGGTTTGTTAAGTGGTGATGTCCTTGAAACTTCCTGTCCTCTTTCTTCCTTTTGTTTTTATTCATGTGTTTTCTATCTATGTCCCACTCTATGTATGTGTGTGAACTTATGTTTTCAGGAAAGTGTGGAAAAACTTATTATCGTAATTAATGCCTCTTGGTCAAAACTGCTCAAAAATTTTGTGTAGGATTTTTTACATAGATCTATATTAAATTATCCCCAGTTCTAATTATGGTTGTGGAAAATTACAATTTTTGACAAAAAGGTGTTTGTGGTAATTTTGCAGATACAGGATTAGTCTTTTTCTGACAATAATTATATATGTCATAGCTAGTTGGCAATAAAATTACTCTGTTCTTCTCTCCTTTTGTATTTGTTTTGTTAAGAATTTTAATGGAGAAAGTTGTCATCAGCCAGAAAATTTAATTTCTAAAGTATCAGTAGAGGTCATCATTTTTCTCTTTTTATTAGGCCTATTTTATGTGTGTATTGAGGGCATCTATATCATTGCAGGAACGTATGCCATTGAATGCTTAATTTAACACTTAAAAAAATATAAACTATTTATCTAACGTAAATACCTGCTCAATTCAGTTGTTTTTTTTTCTCAGTTTAAAACACTGTCTTGGCACTCATGCAAACTGTGGTTGGCTTGTATTTTCTGGCCTGAATCTCAAAATTGACAGAGTCATTACCAATTTGTAGTGTTGATCACTCTGCAAAGGTCTGGTTTGATTGATACTAGTGATAATTTTAATGATGATGATAATAATAATAACAGCAATAATAATAATAATAATAATAGTAATGACAATAACAATAAAATGCCTAATTAATGATAATAATAATGAAAAAAAAATAATGATAATAATAAGAATAAAATATATAGCATTTGTACAATGCAAATTCCCCATCAACAGCCCTATGCTCTTTGCAATCTCTATTATTACCCAAGCAAACTTTTTAGCATTCTGAAACAATCTCAACCTCGTGGGAAGCATACAGTGCAAGCTGCTATTTTATAGGTGCTAAAACACTAACATACTGACAAGATGTTTCACTGATTTTTAAAGCAGAGTCAGTTGGTGTGTAATTAAAAAGATAACAATCTCATACTGCTACCACTGATGTAAATGGAATTTTAATCTGAATGGGTGATTTACTTTCCTATGTTACTTCTAATTGTTAGCGTGTGTGGTTGGCGGGTGCTCTGGTAAGGTTTGCTTCTTCTTTCCTATCAAACATCTGTCGTCCTTATCTCTGCTCCTTCTATTTTGTGTTCGTTTCTCTATTGTAACTCCTCTAATCTTCTGCATTTATATGACTTTATTGTTTTGCAAGTGCCGTAAAACACTTTCTAAAAAAGACCCCCCCCCCAAAAAAAAAAAAATTGTTAGCCCTTTGAGGACCGAAACCAAATGTTCTATCTGCTTTATCAAAATTGTAAGATTATTCGCAGTCGTTATCGTTATCAAGATATTCAGACCATGGCATTTGAAAAAGCTTGACATGTTGTGAAATGTCGAACTTCTGAACTCTTCTGAGCTGATGGAACTTTAGTAAGTCATGGGTAGCGACTTATACTATGACTTGATTTTGTTGAAAGTTCTGTAAAAATATTATTAAAACGAAGAGACTTAAATACAGGATATCCTTTTTTTAATTTTATCCCTCTTTCAGAATGCTGCAGTGGTTGTTACGTCTTGTAGATATGAAAGTGGCTTGCCACCGCTGAAGACAGAAAAGATCAGCGACAATCTCCAGTTGAAAAGTATCCAAGATGATTCCCAGAGCTCCCGGCCTCTCATCTTACTCTTTGGCTGGATGCTGGCCAAGCAGAAACACCTGAACAAATACGGCAACATGTACCACAGCAAAGGATTTGACGTTCTGAGTTTGAAGGTGAGTGGAGGTTGGCGGGTGCTCTGGTGTGGTTTGCTCTTTCTTTCCTATCAAACATCTGTCGTCCTGATCTCCTCTCCCTCTTTCTTTTGTATGTTACTCTCTTGTAACACGTAATCTATTCTTCGGCCCTTATATGACCTTATTGTGTTGCAAGTGCCGTAAAACTGTTACTAAAACTAAACTGAGTTTGAAGGTGAGTGGAGTTTGGCAGGTGCTCGGGTGTGGTTTGCTCCTTCTTTCCTATCAAACATCTGTCGTCCTGATCTCTCCTCCTGCCTCCTTCTTTTTTGTGTATGTTACTCCCTTGTAACACGTAATCTATTCTTTGGTACTCATATGACCTTATTGTGTTGCAAGTGCTGTAAAACATCTGACTAAAACTGTAATGACTCACGTGACAGATGAGGCCGGGCCAGGTGCTGATCCCGCAGCGCGCCCAGGACACCGTAGAGCACCTCCTGTCGGTGCTGGAGGACTCGAGCCTGGCACAGAAGCCCCTCATGGTGCACGGCTTCTCTGTGGGCGGCTACATGTACGGCGAGATGCTGGTCAAGCTGAGGCAGCAGCGGGCTCGCTGGCAGGGCATCTGCGACCGGATGACGGGCCAGATCTTCGACAGCCCCGTCGACTACGAAGGGATCGCGCCTGGCTTCTCCCGCGTGCTGGTGAAGAACAGGCTGGGCCAGAAGCTTCTGCTCAACACCCTGGAGGGCTATCTGAAGCTGTTCCAGAAGCCCATCACTAGGCACTATCTGGCGTCTTCGCAAGCTTTCCACGACAACAATCTACGCCTGCCGTCCCTGATGCTGTACTCCCGGGCTGACCCCATCGGGGTGGACACGCGCATAGAGCTGGTGAGTCCTACATTTATTTGTCTGTCATTTCAGCTTCATGTTTTCTTGGAATTTATGAATTTGAACAGATTTTCCTGATAAATCCGAATCAGGGTTTCTGAAATTGTTTGGATTATTCCCCC